GCAGGAGGGGGAGAGCGAGGGCAGACCCGGCAGGCGCCCATGGATGCCAAACGAGTACCTCCCGGGGCGTTCGTTACGGAGGACGAACACGAGCCCGAGCCCGAGGTCGCAGAACCGCCGCCGCCGCCGGCTCCGGCACGACAGACTCGGAGGGCTGCGGCGACGAAGGCTAGCACCGCGAAGTCCGCCGCCAAGAGCACCAGAGGAACGACCGCGCGGACGCGGGGGCGCGGCAAGGCGCCGCAGGAGGAGGAGCTGAGCCGGAGTTTGCCTGGCTCGCTTATGGATCAGTCGGAGGATGGGTCTGCGGATGACGCAGAGGAAGAGGAGGAGGGAGATCGGCTTGCGCCGCTTCCGCCTCGACAAGCGACGGTCGAAAAGGTGCAGACCCGGAGGTCGTCGCGGCTGAGCTCTTCGAGTGACACGGAGAGTCGACCCGAAAAGGAGAAGGAAAAGGCGCCCGGGAGAACTAGGACTGCTACTGGGGCGGGAGGACGAAAACGGCGATCTTGATGAATGGTGTTTGGTTTTTATTGCCTAATATCAGTGGTTGTCTTGTTTTACTGTCCTTAAAAGCGTTTCCCACTCTTGCTGAGAAGCTTGGTCAGGTGCCATACGCCGAGCAATTGGATTGGAAGTTAAAAACAGTCAGGTTGTCTGGCCATATAAGCCCGTCACAAATCGATGAGCCAGCAACATGGACCGCATCAAACTCCCTCTCGATGAGAACTTGTGGGATGCCCTTCAAGTTCGTCAATTTCTCTACGCCGTCCTGGTCCAGTGGTTGACTTTCAGTTGACCTAGATCGATGACGGGCCAGAGCTGGAGTACCTGAAATCACAGACGGGAATACATGATCCAGACACATTGAAGAAGCACATCATGGCTGTCCAAGCCAAAGCATACGAGGTCGGAGCTTTATAGAACCCCAGGATCGTATCTGAATGAGGTCTCGCCAGTACTCCCCATATTTTTGCATCAGATCGTTCTCGTTCGCGAGGTACGTGCCTCAGAGTTCTGACCATTTTTTATTCGGGATTCATCATGAATTTCAGGATAAGGATACACCGCCTGCCTGCCTACCCCGCCGTCATGTCGCTGGTCCGTGAGAGACCTGACGCTATCATGCTTGATCTTGGCTCTTGCTGTACGCATAAATTGGGGCTGAAATTACTGGACACTTATAGGAGCAACTTAGTCGGCACGGATATAAGAAAGGTAGCAGTTGATGGATATCCTCTGCAAAATTTACTTGCAAGCGACCTGCGTCGAGGTTCGTGTTTAGGGCACAAGAAATTAGAAGCCTCGTAATTTGAGTTCGCTGCAGAGTTCTGGGACTTGGGGCACGAATTGTTCCAATCCACACCGGGCACCTTTCCTGTCTCATTCCTGGCAGGGGACGTGTTCGACCCTAGTTTCCTTACCCTGGCGTCGGTCTCGACCTCGACCTCAGCCTCAAGCACTCCATCTCCGGCACTGTCAAACCTCGCATCTCTAACCACTCTCAACGGGCAGACATCCATTTTGCACGCTTCCAACTTTTTCCACCTTTTCGACGAACAGAAGCAGACGGAGCTTGCATACTTGCTGGCGGGCCTGCTATCCCCGCTTCCCGGTTCAATGATTTTCGGCTTCCATGTCGGAAGAGAAAAAAAGGGTTGGAGACGCGATATACTCTGCAGCGGCCGCCAAATGTTCTGCCACTCTCCTGAGTCATGGATCCAATTATGGGAGAGTATTTTCCCCAAAGGCACTGTTCGTGTAGAAGCTGTGTTACAGAAGCAGGGGGAGTATCATCCGTCGCTGCTTGTCTCGGAAGGCCCCGACGACGGCGTGATGGTATGGTCCTGTATCCGGTTGTAGCTAGCTAGTGCCGACCGTGGACTGGCAGTTCCTTAGGCCTTGTACGCCACAGAAATGAGAATACGTGACGAATACGTGGTTAACGTGAACGTAAGAACGAAATATGGGAATTACAATCTCGGGGTGTAGACGACGAGGGAAAGATAACGAATCGGTTGAATTACAAAAAAAATATAGAAGAATTAGATTTTACGAGTCTTCACAAGTTGGGCAAACTTCTTCAAGGTTGTCTTCAGGGAACTCACATCTCCCGCGTCGAAGTGCGCCACCAAGTCTAGTATGTCTCAAAAAGTCCCCCCACAGTCTGGAATCCTTGAGCCTGGAGGAGCAGACAGAGGTCTGAGCCGATAATCGGCACGACGGTGTATCCGTGTATCCGTGCGGGAACTCGAGAAGAAGGGGGATCGGCACGATGGTGTATCCGTACGGGAATCCGAGAAGAAGGGAAAAAAAAACGAAGACCGATGCAAAGAACAAGGGCGAATGTCATGGCATGGTAACTGTTGGTTGCGGTGGCGTACTGTATTGCAAGATTTCCGAAGTAACAGCACATGCAAGATGTACATGATCCCTAATCTACGTGAGCACGGACAGGTACGGGTGCAGTCAATGACTCACGACTGTGAAGAGCCTCAGAAATATCCCAGCCTCCCCTCAGTGCGAGTCGCTTCCTCTCCGCATATAGCAAGTCTGGGATTGGGCGAAATTTGTTTGTGGGTCCCAATAAGCGCCAGCACTGCCACTCGCATCAGCTCACTCCGCACTGCACCGGCTGCCAACGTTCGACGCCCCTCCCTTCGTCCCGGGGTCTCGCTATTCGCGGCACGTCATGCCCTCGAAATATCGCTCATGCGACAAGATTCTACAAGCAGTGAGGACGGGACAGGCTAAGCGAGGCATACAATTTCGGTGCAAGCAGCAACAGCAGCGGGGTGCTTCTCCTCGACCGTCTCGACGACGCGTGTGTGATGGCGGTGGTGGCGGCCCTCAAATCCCGCCGATGGTACCGGCTGCGAGAACGGGAGGCGTTTCGCCGCGCGACCGTGGCCTCGTGCGTCCGTGTCGCATTTGTTTCGAGGTACAGCTACAAGAAACTCTGCGAGGCACTTGAGCGTCGTACCGACCGTAGGGTGACAGCTATGACGCGTGACGCGTTGCAGAGGGATCGCAACATGCTTCTGGAGACGGTCGATATATATGATGAGCGGTCGTTTCAGGGGATAGGCTGACTTGCCGTGGAGGAACACCAAAAACAGTGAATGTATCTATTGCGTCCTACATCCACGTTGTCGAGTCGGCGCTAATTCTGAACTCCACCATTGAGTGAGCGAGGAGGGGATGCCATCAGCCCAGTGTCGTCCTCGTCTTCATGTGGCTTGTACACAAGCCGAAATATTTGTAGGCGAACGTCTGTGGAGTTGCCAGAGCGGAGGCACCTCGAGAGAATCATCTCCCGCATGAGATTCTCTGTCCAATCATGGGCTCCCCAATACTCCAAAAGGACATCGATGTCCAGTTTTTGCAGTTTCGGGAGCACTGCACGGTCACTGAGCGAACGAAGGAGATTGTCGGTCAGGAAGACATTGTGAGAGCAAATTTCGAGAGTAACGAGGGACGTCAGAAACGGTACACATCGGAGTAGGCTTAGGTCAGTCGCATTCCATAGCCAGATGCGTTCCAACCGGCAGCGCGACCGGGTCAGGAATGAGACCAGAATCCCGTCATCGCTGTCGGAGGCGAAATGTTGAAAGCTAAATTTGAGAACGCGCAGGCACGGCAATTTCAGAAGCCGGATGAGGTCCATGTGGGAGGTTCCGTGAATTTTGAGACAGGTAAGGTGATCATGCACGATTGGCGGGAAGGAGATGATTGAATCCATGGAACGGTCGTTATCGTATCCTATCAGGTGGCATTCGACAAGTGCAGGACATTGTCGAAGCATGTCGACACATTCGACGTCGGTAAAATCCTCGCAAGTGAGATGGGTGAGTTGGTGCCATGGAAGGACGACTGAACCCAATTCCAAGTTCCCGGAAAGAAGAGAAAGGTTTTTCAATTGTGGCGCTTCTGCAAAGGACTGGACGACATGTGGGGTCTGGTACTCCAGATTCAAGCAGAATTTTTCCAGGCGAGGAAGTCGTCCGCGCACTTCGTCGAACACATGGGGATCGTTCTCAGGGAGGAGAAACTCGACCGCGCCCCATCGTTCGCAATGGCGAATGATTTCCTTCACATCTCCGGCGTGGCAGGAACGATGCATGTCGAAGGATAGCGGATGGGGGAACGAACGTGCCAACACAGAGGATAGCACTCCGGTTCTGTCTGTGTCCTTCCTATGCTTTTTGCGGTGGAGGTCGAGGGATAGCCATAAACGGGGAGTGGATAGTGCCACTTCGCGCCAGCGCCGGCATACGCTGGAGACAAGAAGAGGTGCGTGGGAAGGGGAAAGTGTGTGGAATCCATCGACAACAGAGATCCAGCTGTACTCAGACTCGGATGGGGTGGGAAGACACTTGACGAATATGTCAGCTAATATTTCGGTGGGCAGCACCACAGCATGTTCCCGATTGATGCCAGACATGGCGCGCTTCGCTGCCAAAAAAAAAGTTAGGCCCGGACTTGAATCGGTATATAACACACAATATGAGGCCCCAAGTCTGGAAAATGACCTAGTCCAGTGAGAAGAGCCTGAGACTCTGTCGAACGATGGGAGCGTGCTGGGAACCAACACAAAACATCGAAAAGCCGAAAGGTCCGAAATTTGATCACGACTGTCTTGTGTGTTTTTCTTCAACTTCAGGCTTACGCGCGGTTGGCGCAAGCTCAGCTTGAAGGTAAACCATATGAGCTACATGCAGATTAATTTAATCATAGTTTAGATATTTTCATTTTGAGCGGAAGACTACGCTCAGTCTGACTCAAATCACTACATAGTCATATGAGACGCTGACACCAGCACAGCAGCATGGCGCAGCTGGAAGCGTGCGGGGATAATTATCAAGAGACATCCTACGATTAGCAGTGTAGATTTTGTCCACTTGTAGCCACGTTTTACGCTGGTTCTTCAAGCGCGCGCCACTGATGCCCATAGCGAAACACAGCGCAGCCATAGCTGATTGATATCTTTACAGTAGCACAGCAGCATGGCGCAGCTGGAAGCGCGCGGGGCCCATAGGATCTTTGTGCAACCCCGAGGTCACTCGATCGAAACGAGTTGCTGCTATGTTTTTTGTTTTTCAGTCCTTTTGTTATCGCATCAATTATCTTTTTCGACATTTCGTCCAAATCAACATTTAATTGCCTCTCACAAGATGCCTACAAGCTCTCAAGGAATTCAAGTCACTCAGTATTACAATTGTCACTGTCAGGGGAACCTGCTCCAGCTGCTTTTCCGTCCGTCGCTCCAGCTGCTTCTACATCCACCCTTCCGTCCTTCCATCCAGGACTTCTTCTGTCCATCTACTCCGTCCTCGTAATGTTGAACGTGTCCTCGGAGCTCGGCATTTACCCGTAGATACCTTATGCAATTGATACGAACCATTTACAATATACGGATATTATTGTACCGTGACCCATGGACCTGCCTGCTTCTATATGCTTCTTAGTACGTACTCGGCACCTCGGCCGGTTAAACGGCCTCGGATAATTTACCGAGTAGTCATTAGTCCTACGACCCGCCCATCTTGTATAAGTAGTAGCTCCCTCGATAGGTATTCCCTATCGAGAAGAACCTCGAATACAACGGTTTCTTAGCTCTGAAGGCGCTCTCCTCTTAGTCGTCCTCACTGCGTGGCAGCTGTCAACACACCGCCAGCCGCTCGTACTCTAACACGTAAGCATCTGGAACTTCTGTCTGCTTGTGCTGGCACGTGCTATGCAATCAGGCCTGGGATCATTGTAGATACCTACGGACGCGCTACTGGGTAGTTACTAACTAGTATATAAGGTTTCACCTGGTGTGGGAATCCCCATCCTTTCTTCTTCGGATTCCCCTAGGTGCATAGTATTTCCGCTTCTGTATCTTAGTACCTATATTTATACTTTGGATTCCCCTGCTAGTTTCTGCACCCCGCACCAAGCTTAAGTTACAGCTGCAAGAGTACGGAAGGTTGCGGGAGATGATGTACTCCTAGTTGATAAAGTCTTTGGTCATTCCGCAGTTGATCAGAGCCTTCACCGACATCTGTGCGGTGGTCTTGACAGACTCCAGGTCCAACAGGATGTGCAGGGAGTTTCGGCCCTCAACAGAGTTGATGATGTACTGCCAGGGGAGTCACTGTCCTGACTTCGGGTGATGAACACGCCGGAGCGAGCCTGTCCTCGTTCCCAGCTCAGGGACAGGGGCCTCCATCACTGTCCTCATTCCTCGCTTGGGGACAGTGCAGGTTTCCATCTCCAGGACAGAAAGGGGAGTCTCAGTCACCTGGACAGAAACTGGGACAGGGGGTGCGCCTCTCGCTACCACCTCTGAATTGGATATATTGACAGTATCAGAATACAGGAGGGCATAGCGATTAGGGGACACAACTGAGGGCGCACCGCTCACTCGGATGGGGATGGAAAACCCACCAGGTCTGCATCCTCATCAACCGAATCCATTGGAAGCGAGGTGGTGGTAGAGAGACAGGTGAATAGCTCGTTGAGGAGATCATCACTGAGTTGGTGGACAACCTCTTTGAGAATGTCCGTATGCCGGACATCAGACGTAATGGGGCACTCGCAGGCGAGGTGTCCAGCAGCTCCGCACTGGAAGCAGGTGCATGAGAAAGCACGTGTCTGCGTCCGGTTAACGTCTATTGGAATGACTGCCGGGAGCACAGGTGCCAGAGCTGGGGTGAATGAGATGGGAGTGCGCATAGGTACTAGAGCAGGGAATACACCCACTGTATGTGGCTGAGGCAAAGCAGCTGGAAGATGGGCTGGAGGGTTTCCAGTCTGGGTGTGGCCGAACACTTTGTACTGCTAGAAGGTGTGTACACACCACCCATCGTAGTCGGTGAGGTCAGGGGCAGTTCCAGGTGTCATAATTGTGATGTTGATTCATGGGTCAAGGCCGGTGTGATACTTGGTGACCTGGATGAGAGCGTCTGAGTAACCAGCCGTTACAGCCAGTTCCTCAAAGTTGTCCATGTACCGGTAGATGTCATGAGAGCCCTGGAAGTACAAGTGGGACTCAAGCTTGACAAGGGCCTGGTCCTGCTTGTTCTCTTCGAGGTGTAGCTGTACCTTTATTGCAATGTACCCAGCTGTGGCAGGGGGGTACATTGCATTAAAGGCACGGCTGGGTTGGGCAGCTGAGATGTGCCCATAATGCAATGTACCTTTTGATCCACCCCATTGGGTTGCAGCTGAAAATCCCTTTATTTTGGCCGTTCCCAGGCCATTTTCCGGTTGCAAATGACCGTATTCCAGAATAAAATAGTATTTTTCCCGGCTTCCTTCAAATATTCCCTATGCGCACTATTTTGACCCCCCATCAGTGTGGCGGCATCCTCGTCATGCATCAGTCCTTTGACATGCGTGACATCCGTCCTCTTCACACCACCACCACCGCTGCTCGCTACTGCTGCCCCTGCCCGCTCACTGTCTGTGGCAGCCGCAGTGGCGATGCTCAAGCACTCAAGCCTCAAATCCTTCTATTCTATTGTTTACTTGCCACGTTCCTGCTACGCACCTCCCCGCTTCTCTACCTTCAATGTGTATCCGGTTAGTTTTCTTGTTTTTATTCCTAGATTTTTTTGCTCACTTGGGATTTAGAATTATCTATGCCTAGAAATCCCTCCATCTCGGTTTCCCAATAGTTGCTCCTCTTGATCGTGCCTGCTTTTCGTGACCGCTGTGTGCTCGGTTGTACCCAATTCACACGTACAGCAGGGGCCACATGTACGTCCCATATCCTGGAATGTACATCTGCAACCTGCCCCTGCACGCCCCTGCACGTTCATTAAATGTCTTGCTGCACGCCGTGCTCGTAAATGCACACCCACCCTCTCGGTTGCACAGAGCTGCATCTTTCCTCTTGCGTTCACTGCACGTCCCCGCACTCACTGCACACACACTGCACACATCCCCACACTCACCACACACACTTTGCTCTCCCCCCCATGTTCTTTGTGTCCGTACCCTTGCGCTACGCACCCCTTTCCACCATGCTGCCATGTCTGAACCCTCGCACTCACTGCCAGTCTGCACGCATCCTCGCTGGCCACACCTTTGGGCTCACTGCACCCATTGACACACACACATGCACACGCTGCCCACCCACACACTGTATGCATGCTCACTGCACTGCCCCCATGCTCTCACCGCCCCTGTGCTCTCACCGCCCCCGTGCTTTCATCCACCAGTGCTTTCATGCAGGTCTCACCCACCTGTGCGCAAGGCATCTCATTCCGCACTTCCCATGCAGTAATCCATGCTTGCGCCTGGGTGCCAATGCATGCCGCCTGCATCCCACTCCTCCCCACCATGCCCTTTTGGCTGCTCACCCGTGTCTCCGTCCCTCCTGCTTGCCTGCTCTGACCTCACCGTTAATACCTCTTGGCACTGCACGTTGTTTCGATGCGCGCTTGCTGCACCACCTCTGTGCTCTTACCGTCCCTGTGCTCTCACCACCCCCGCACTCTCACCTGCCACTCGTGCATCTGTGCAGGTCTTGCCCACCCATGTGCAAGGCGTCTCACCCCTCGACATTTCTCATGCAGTAATCCATGCTTGCGCCTGGGTGCCGATGCATGCCACCTGCATCTTGCTCCTTCCTGCCGCGCCCTTTTTGTCCTGGTTGCTCGCCCATGTCTCCGCTCCTCCTGCTTGCCTGCTCTGACCCCACCACTAATACCTCTTGCCGCTGCACGTTGTTTTGACACTACACACGGGACGATGCCTGCTCGCTCACACGCGTCTCCGCCCTTCCGCTTGCCTGCCGTCTGCCATCGGATTGCACATCTCTATTTTTCTTTTTGCATCTCCACGTGCCCATCCCATCCCCTCATACTCGCCGCTCGCCACTCACCTTGCCGCACCTCCAGACATTTTCTTGCACACACCATTTCACTCCGCACATCTTCCTGCAGCCCGCTGTCACATCCTGCGTGCCTTGCATTGGTCTTCGCACCTGTTTGTCATGTTTACCCCATACAGCCCCACCCCTCTACACCCACACACCAGCCGCTCGCCAACCACGTGCTCGCTCTGTATGTGCGCACGCCACCTGCTTCCTGCTCCAGCGCCTTGCATATGTGCAGGTGAGCACACATGGGCGCCTTTGTGTGGCTCATCAGTATTCGGTGCATTTTGAGGATATGTTGGGATGTGCGAGGAATGTATCCTCATTCGTGTACTCCTCATTTGTGTGCTTTAATCTGTAACTTTGATGAATTATATGGATGTTTCCAATGCCTTCAACGCTGACACAAATGCAGTAAAGATACAGACTCTCTACCTTTAATACTTTTCTCCATTACAAACTCCTGGTACATGGGTGGAGCCAACTTCGAGAGGCCGGTGTCAAATTTTCGAGAACAGGCACCCACATGATGGGTGGATCTTATTGGTGCGGCATCCCGGACTGTACTCAGAATCTCCCGATCAGGTTCAAATTCTCGGTTTCTCGACTCTAGAGTCCGATCCAGAGTTCATTTGAGATCTGGACTCCATCAGGGGGCCTTGAATAACACTTCTGGACTTGATTCTGCAAAGAACACAGAAGTGATTTGGTTGACCTCAAAATCCATGAAAGGTGGCGACATACCACCCAAGGATATGGGAGAAATCGGTCGTACATGAAGCTTCATGTTCTATATTCCGAAGTATTTGCCATTTAACATTTGAAAGATATATCTCAACACTTCACAGCTGCTCAAATTGCTTCATTGTGTCCATATTTTTGTGAATAATACATTTCTTGCCAGCGAACCTAACCGGTGAGTGCACCACTCGGTTACATTGATGCAATATTGGACTCAATCAGTCTCCTTTCACCCCAAATACAGTGTGGTCAAGTAAATACATACCATATGCTTGGTTGGGAATTATTTCAGCGCTCTCGGCTCAATGTACACGGGATCCATTGACGAAAACTGAATATTCGGGTTCAATTACCAAGCGTTGTGGAACATTTCCAATTCAAGCTTTCCATGTGCAAAAAGATTTTCATTTGGAGTACTACAGATACCACAAACCTCCAATATCTGAATTCTCAAAGACATACACCACCAATGGGTG